AGGCCCGCGTACCGCAAAAAAAAAAAAAAAAAAAGAAAAGAAAAAAGAAAAAAAAGAAAAAGACGTTGAAGTTCCCCTCAAAAACTTGCAAACTATTAAGGTTAACACTGTCGCTTTGTCACCAGCCTCGTGTTAGAATCAGTTCTGGCATGATCAGATCAAGGCTAGAGTGGAGCATGTTTCCGGAAAAGGATAACAAAATAGGATTTGGTAAATAGCGTATTTTACTTGTAGCCATTACTGTGCAGAAGGCAGCCAGGTGGCAGGGAGTGAGCCCAGGGGAGCCAGGCCTCCAGTGCTTCTGTGGTTGGGCCCGAAGACTAAGGCGAAAATGCACCTGACCTTGCCCAAGCGTCTCTCAACTTGTATCTGATGCACTGGACCGCTAGCTTTGACAAACACTGACTCCGGGTAGCAAACAGGTGCTCTGCCAGCTGGGTGAGGGCTGATGAGGACCAAATGTCTTCTCGCTTGGTCTGGGGAACTCATCACTCAGTGCCTGAGTGGAATGTAAACGAGGAGAAGAAAAGGCAGTGCCTCGGATGTAAGCCTTAAACCCACCCAGGTGACAGCTTTGTTTTCAGTTAGCGCTTTGCTATATTTGCTTTCTATCACATTTTATCCATTTACCCACCCCTCAATCCATCTTATCTTTTGGATTCATTTCAAAATAATCTGCAGACATGAGTACACTTTACTCCTAAACTCCTAGCATTCATATCATTAACTAAGGTGTGAAACGTGTTTATTATTCTTTGAGGTAAAATTTACAGAGGAAATGCACAAATTTTAAACGTACCATTTGATGGGTTTTATTTTGATGAGTACACACCTGTGTATCACAAGCTCCTACCATAACGGAAAACTTGAGTTATTTCTGCTTCCTTTGACAGTCTCCTCTGCTGACTGTATTCTCAGGTCATCTGATTGAGGAGCTAATACATTTTTGGCGGATGCTAAAGTGACATATGTAAATGTAGCAGACACCGGAGTGGAAAGAGCTGGTGAGCTTTATGGAGCACAATGCCATTCTAAACGCTAAAGAGTGCGCAGGGGGCTTCCCTGGTGGCGCAGTGGTTGGGAGTCCGCATGCCGATGCAGGGGACGCGGGTTCGTGCCCCGGTCCGGGAAGATCCCACATGCCGCGGAACGGCTGGGCCCGTGAGCCATGGCCACTGAGCCTGCGCGTCCAGAGCCTGTGCTCCGCAACGGGAGAAGCCACGACAGTGAGAGGCCCGCGTGCCGCAAAAAAAAAAAAAAAAAAAAAGAGTGCGCAATTTCTTTTAGGGTAGAAGGAACACGCAGCTGTGGGAAACCTCAGAGGTTGGGGAATGGGAGTAGAGAAGAGGGTCTGGGAATAATCAGCTTGAAGGTGTACAGAGTCAAGCTTCATTCCCACGCCACTAAATCTAGAATTGCAATAGTTTTGATCGGCTGCATGAAGTTTGACCTTTGGATTCTCTAGGGGAAAAGTGGGGATGGGCCAGGAAGAGAATGGCTAGACTGTAGAGGTTCTCCAGAAGGCAGCTCTCCAACCTGGGGACACCCAGGACTTTGTGAAGCCCTTGGTCCCCGCCCTCCCCCTGCTGCTCACCCAGGATGTGCTCCTTGCTCCAAAGTCTAACCACTGACTTCTGTGATGCTCTTACTAATGAGGAGCTTTTAAAAAATATCTGAAATTTGGATTTTTCACAAAGTCCACGTACCCTTCCCTCCCAGTTTGAGTGATTCAGGAAGGTCTGGGCATTACAGAAGGAGTTCTGTCTTTGAGAAAACTGAAAGCTGAGGTTTGTTTCGTTTTCTTTTTTTTTTTTTTTTTTTTGCGGTACGCGGGCCTCTCACTGTCGTGGCCTCTCCCGTTGCAGAGCACAGGCTCCAGACGCGCAGGCTCAGCGGCCATGGCTCACGGGCCCAGCCGCTCCGCGGCATGTGGTATCTTCCCGGACCAGGGCACGAACCCGTGTCCCCTGCATCGGAAGGCGGACTCTCAACCACTGCGCCACCAGGGAAGCCCAAGGCTGAGTTGCTTTTAAGATCAATTGTTTATATAGCAAGCAAGGTACTCCTCCTCTTCTCACAGGCTCATCAAGTCCCAGGCTTCACACGAGAGGCCCCCACCCAGGCCAACTCTCTTTAGCAATGCCCTGCTGACAGCTTGAGCTAACCAAGTGGGTCAGCTGCCACAGCCAAGGGCAGGAAACCTCTCTTCCACGGTGGCTACTGACCCACAAAACCAATGTCGATTGTAGGTCACACATGATCATCAAAGGCGACTCCTGTTTGCAGTGACTGCCTCTTACGGAAGGCTAAGGTGCTGGGGCTCCGCTTTTACCTTCAAGCAACCCACACCAGGTAATTGAGAGAGTGGACCATAACACTTGATTCAACAATGCATTCTATTTCCCAAATATGCTTCCTTCCTTCTGGTGGCTATTTAAGAAAAAGAGGGAGAGCACGTAAGAGAATGGGAATAGGGGTACAGGAAGAAGACAGTTGGGAGGGATATGCAAGATAGAAGGCGATTTAAAAAAGATCAAAGGAAGAGAGTCAGGTGTTGGCAGCAGCAGGGGAGGGGCGCTGAGAAAAAGAAAAAAAGTGGCAGATAGAAAGGTAAGTGGGTGTAGTACAGAAAAGGGATAGAACGATACAAAGAGTGAGAGAAAACGAAACAGAGAAAACCAGAGTACCAGCCAGGCCAGCTCCTTAATTTTACTGAGGGGAAAACTGACACCCAGGGAGGGGAAGTGATTTGGCCAAAGTTTTGCTGCTGGTTGATTCTTGAGCTGAGGCTAGAACTCCGGCCTCTAGACCCCCAGATCAGGAGCATGGCAGCCTACATACCAGGCTTTCTGGGAGAGCCCAGACATTGTTTATTCAGGCAAGAGGTTACATCATCTGAATCTAGGGAGGAAAACAGAAAACCTCAGATCCCACCCAGACCAAGTCCAGGCAACTGAGAGACACAGCATCATGAGAACCGGAAGTCTCAGGTCCACAAGGTACTGAAGAGTCATGGGTGCCTAGAAGGGGCTTGCTGGAATCACTGGGCTGACTGAGGCAAGTGGATACAGCCCCCTGAAGTCGCCCGTGGATGGATTCCCTTGGCTACAAGGAGGAACCAGACCGCGGGCTGGATGTCTGTTCCTCCTGAGAGCACATCTACACGTCCACTACCAGTTCCAAGCACAGAGGCACAAATCAGAAAATGCCAGAGGTTCCTGGGAAATCAGAGGCAAGATGGGTTAAGTCTCCCCCAGTGCATATTGACCCTTGGCTCACCCCGGGCCAGGCTTGCCCAATCCACTCTGCCAACTCCAGACTGAGAGAGATCCAGGCCAACTCCAGGTTTATCTTTCTGTTAGGGTCCCTCAAAGCTGATTGCTCCAGAAAGTACAATACTTCATGGTTGCCCCACAGTACTTGGCAATGCACTAGCAAACCCAATCTTACCTGTCCCCCTCCCACAGGTTCACAAACTTTTGTCTGAACTTTGCCAGGGCTGGATATAATTAGGCATGGAACCAGAGGTGCCCGAAGTCTGTCATATGCCTACATATATACCCATATACATGTGTAGAAAATGCTTTTGATCCACAAATCTTATATAGAAAAGCAGCTTATAGTGAAGTTTCTTAAAAACCCTCTTCTACGGAGCATTTATCTTCTTCGGGGATAAATCTGGATTTAATTCCCACTCAACCTCATCAAACCATACAGGCAAGTTTCCTCAGTCTTCTAGTGTTCCGGTCTAAAAACTCTATGGGTGTTCCTTTAGTTCAATCCCGGCACCTGGGCTTAGAGCAGGATGATCTGGGGAGGCTGTGGTGAATGTGATAAAGAGGAAATGCTGTGAATCAGTACTGAAATCTCTTAGGTGGCAGAAATAGCTGAATATAGTGACTAACACATAGTAGATGCTCAATAAATATTGCTGCCAGAGTCACTTGATACCAGCCCAACATCATTTTGCTAAAGCCCAGAGAGATGAAGTGACTTGTCCAGGATGATACAGCTGGTCAGTGACAGAGCCTCCACTAGGTCGTGGGTGATTCATATGAAAGAGGGATTTTTTAAATATAGGAAACTTCTAATATAGGTACAGTGGAATATTACTCAGCCATAACAAAGAATGAAAAAATGCCATTTGCAGCAACACGGATGGACCTAGAAGTTATCATACTAAGCAAGTCAGAAAGAGAAAGACAAATACCATATGATATAACTTATATGTGGAATCTAAAATATGACACAGATGAACCCACCTACAAGACAGAAACAGACTCACAGACATAGAGAACAGACTTGTGGTTGGCAAGGGGGAATGGGGGTGGGGGAGGGATGGAGTGGGAGTTTGGGATTAGCAGCTGGAAACTATTATATATTGGATGGATAAACAACAAGGTCCTATGTACAGCACAGGGCACTATACTCAATGTCCTGTGATAAACCATACTGGAAAAGAATAGGAAAAAGAATATATATGTATAACTGAATCACTTTGCTGTAGAGCAGAAATTAAACACAACACTGTAAATCAACTATACTTCAATAAAATTTTAAAAATTTAAGAATTACTTATTCTTACCACTAAAAAAGAAAAGAAATTAGAACATGGGAATTCCCTGGCAGTCCAGTGGTTTGGGATTCCGCACTTTCACTGCCGAGGGCCGGGGTTCAGTCCCTGGATGGGGAACTAAGATCCCACAAGCCGTGTGGCGCAGCCAAAAAAACAAACGAAACAAGAAATTAGAAGGTTAAAAATATATATATAGGAACCTTCTAGAATCACAGTCTCTTAGAATTGCCAGTGTGATCTCCCTGGACCCAGCACCCAATGATAAGCTGAAAGTGCTCAGAATTACCACCCAGTGGTTTTAGTCTCGGTACCACATGAAGCAGCCAAATCCTCCCACTTGATAAGGATTTGATGACAGTCAGTGGAGCCTCTCCAAATCCCTGGTTCCTTCAACCATCCTCCATGTGATACCCCTTCCACTCACCATCTTCATCACCCTCCTGTGGATTCACCAAAATCCCTCTGACAGTGATGGCCAAAAGTGGGTGCATCCTCTGAAGGGCACTGGGCCAGGGCAGGGGCATAATGGGTTACTTTGCTCCTTCCTCTGGATGTTCTGAGGTCAAGATCATGTTGCATCATTTAGCAGTCATGTGGCACTGTTTGCCCTTCTCTAATTTGTAGTTAGCTCAAACCCCCAAGATCTTTTTTATATGATCTCATCAAACCGTTCCCCCCTTATCTGGAATTTGTACGACCATATATTTGTTTTCTTGTTAATTATTTATTTTTGGCTGTGTTGGGTCTTCTTTGCTGCGCGCAGGGTTTCTCTAGCTGCATCACGGGGGCTACTCTTCATTGCGGTGCGCGGGCTTCCCTCATTGCAGTGGCTTTTCTTTGTTGTGGAGCACAGGCTCTAGGTGCGCAGGCTTCTGTACTTGTGGCATACTGGCTTAGCTGCTCCGCAGCATGTGGGATCTTCCCGGACCAGGGCTCAAACCCGTGTCCCCTGCATTGGCAGGTGGATTCTTAAACATTTCACCACCAGGGAAGTCCCTCAACCAGATATTTGTAAACTCTGTATAGCACTTTGTGTGGGTCCCACTTTTCAAGTTCTGATCACTGGAGGAAGATGCCATCAAATTCTTCTATGCCAGAAAACCTAAGTCTAAATACTGAACCTTGAGCGAACTGTTCTTCCACAACCTTAGTGGGTTTTTTTTCTACCTAACATATTTTGAACTATACCACACTTAAACAGAGATCATTTCTACAAACTGCTGGAGCTTAATGGCTTAAAGATAGCATGTGTGTTGGGGAGAGTAGCTTTTATGCAGTCAGTATTATGCGCCAGGCATTGTTAAGGGCTTTCTATACTTTAGCTCATTCCCTCTGATCGACGTAGGATTGTTATCCTGAGTTTATAGACAAGGAAACTGAAGCTCAAGAGATTCCACTGTTATTAAGGGGAAGAGGCAAGATCTGAATCTAGTTGTGACTAATCCCAAAGACCATATCCTTTTATTATGCCGGCGGCTCTTAACCTCGGCTGCACATTAGAATCAGCTGGGGAGCTCTCAAGCCTCCCGACACCCAGACCCCACCCCAGGCCAATTAAAGCAGTTCCTGGAGGTGGGTTTAAAGGCTCCCCAGGTGATTCTAATATAGAGCAGTAAAACTGCTGCTTTATTCCATACTGTTTCCGAGGTATGTTAGGCAGGCATAGATGTGAATGCAGCTATCAGTCTTCAGCAAGACTGAAGGTATTTAAGGCACTAACATCAAACCAATAGTGCTGGAGAGACTAACGCCGCAGCTCCCTGTACTGATGGAGGAGGTGAGGGCGGCCACCTAAACTCCCTTCTAACTTTGACCCCTTGAAAGCTTCCGCAACTCATTTTCTGAACCACAGTGCTTTCCCGCTATCTTTAGTTCTGAAAGGCAGGCCGGGCCTATCTACTGGGTGAACAGACTACAGGTGGGTCCTAAACATTCTTAGCTCTGGCAGGACATTTCTGTGTCTCTTTGACTTATCAGGACAAAAGTCTTGGTTTGGTTTGGTTTTTTGTTTCTTCTTTCTGAGTAGTTTGTACAAGAGAGAGGTCTGAGAGGTTTGCCTGGGGAATCAAGACTCTGTGTAGGTTCCTTCCTGTATCCCTCTGGCAGCTCCTTATACGATGTTTGCAAAATTAGGAACGGACATGATGCAATGGGGAAAATCATTTGTACGTTGGTGGGAGGTGCAAATCCCCGAAGAGCCCATTGCCAAAATAAGAAAACTCCAAGTCACTGGGAAGTTGTAAAACCTAGCACTGCGAGAACAAAGGGCCCAGGCATATGGAATAGCTTATCAGAGGCAGGGCAATGGAGCCCGCGTAAGAATGGCTCAGGCTCCGGAGAGAGACATCTAGATCTGTTCAAGGAGAGGTCAAGAAGTGTTGGGGATGATGAGAGGGCTGAAAGATGTGATTAAAGTAAATCCTCCAAAGATGGGAAAACTGGGCTAAATGGCTCCTTCCTGTGCTTAATATGCTCTCATTTTCGTGGGGTGGGCGTGGGCACTAGGTGATTTGCTTCTTGCCCGTGGCTCCCTGTCCTGCCTCCAGTGTTGGAAGAGATTCTTTGCCTGCAAATCCTGGGTGTGTGTTTCCCCTTTTACAAGCAGTCAGGGCTCTGGGAAGAAAATGGCTCTCTCTTCGAAACCATAATATGATCGTAGAGGCAAAGAGGGCCTCTTCTCATAGCTTTCCCAGAGCCTCGACCGTTATAACCACTAAGTAGAAAGGGCTTCACTGGGGCTGTTTCCACACACGCAGGTTGATTGTTGAGGAGAATGAAAGCAGAGACCCAACTTAGGTGACATACACATGTTCCCATGGACTGTGAAGAAAAATGGGACCAAGTGGGTTTTTTCTCTCTTTATCCCATCTTTTTTCCTTTCCCCCCACCCCCGGCCTTGAAGGAGTCGGGTAATCTAATCTCCACAGACCTCCATTTCTCCTCAGTTTGCCTGGGCAAACACCACCAAAGAGAGTCTTGGAAGAACGTGTCAACACATCCAAAATGTTTCCCTCACGTGGTTCTCATCTCACACTTCTTTCTGGCATTGGAGGCATGCGACACTTCCACGCGAAGAAAGTCTCAAAATAGCAAGTAGTAAACAGAGCCAGGGAGGCTGATGTAGCTCTGCCCTGCGCCAGCCCTCAGCCCTGCTCCCCTCCAGAGGGAAGACAACTCCTTCCTTCCTCAGACAGCTAAGCCAGGCTACAGGGTCAGATAATCAATGGCAGGTGTCACGCACTATAATAAACCTGAAGGAAACAAAGAGAAGCACACAGAACCCTCCAGGCTTGACCGCTCCAGGAGCAGCGTTGGCTGGCTTGTTACAAAGAAGCCCCGCGCATGGGACTGGACCCTTCAGTCCCAGATGCCCTTGGGTCAGCTAGGAAGGTGAGAGGCAGAACGGAAGGGGCCCCAGGAACTGCTCGATCGGGGAGGCTCCAGCCAGCAGGGACTGGGCCGAGACAACAGCAATGTTTATTCAGCTTACAGCTTTCATTTTTTCCTAAGTCATTTCAATGAGTTAAAGGAAAGAAATCATTCTACTGGATTGAGTCCATCACTAAATATTTGGGACACACGCTGAAAGGTTAGAAGCAAACTCCTGCAAAGAAATGATTGCTGGAATGAGGGAGTTGGCTACTAGAGGAGGCCTGGGATGAAGGCCAACAGTGACCGGGGAGGGAATCAAGAGCAGTGAAATGAGCCATGAAGTTTCTTGGCATTTTCAAGCACTCCTGGAAAGAGAGTGGCTCATCAACTTCACTGAAGAATCTCCAAACAAATAGCTCAACTGTCTCCGTGTTTCCCAGCCTCAGAAATAGGCTGGGAAACTTGACTGAACGTTGTGAAATGAACATTTCGAGTCTGGGGCTTTCTACCGTGGTTCGGGGGTGCTTCCAACAATTTGCCCTGATCGTCAAGGTTACACGAGTGCCAGGCGGTGTCCCAGGACTACAGTTTTCTCAGCCCTACCTGGACCTACATTCTCTCGGCCTCCATTGCTGTGTCGGAATGGATTTGAGTCAATGATCTCCCTTGCCTCGAAAACAACAAAACAAAAAACCAAACCTACCAAAACTACTCCAACTAGGGGGTGACTGACTTTCCCACAGAAAATTCACGGGGAAAAGAGACGAGGGGAAAGAAGGGGAGGGACTAGCATGGTCAGTGACCCACTAGATTGAATCAACCCCAATGTTAGAAAAAGCGTCAAGAGCGAATTTCCTATTTTGGAGAGCTTGGGCCACACTATTTTGCTTCATTACCGGAAACCTAGTGCCAGCAGGAGTAAGAGGTGAGGACAGCCGCGGGAGCTCCCCGCCAGGAATCAGGGACCCAGGTGCAGACCCAGAATCCAGTTCTGGGGTCCAAGACGAGGTCGGGTACACAGGGGCTGCTATAAAGAGGGGAACAAAGAAGTGGGCTCGGGAATGAGGACAGATCTGGATGGCCACAAGCCAGAGTAGAGGCCAGGAGGTCTGCGAGAAGCAAAGCTGGAGAGACTGCATAGACGCTGGTCCCCCCAGGCACGGCTCTGCTTCCGAGGCCCCTGGCTCTCTGTGGAGACAGGGTGCCGCGAAGGAAGGATGCACTCCTGGTTAAGACAGTAACGTCGCCGACACGTTATTACATGTTGTATATACTCCCGCCCCCAGAAAGAGATCACAGTTTCATTTGAGGGAGCACAACCCCCAAAAGACTGGAAATGGAGGGGCAGGCACAAAGTCCTCTCACCAACATTCCCGAGAGCAAAGCAAAGCATTACCGCAGGGCTATTTTCATGGCAAGAGGCTCATACATACCTTTAATCCTGAAGGAGCAAGATGAAACGCCCTTCAATCTCTGTTCCAAATCCATGCTTAAATTTTACTTTAAATGTTTTATGATAAGGGATACAAAGTCTTAATTTAGCGCCCTTTCTAAGGATTTCTTCTCCTGAAGCAATTTGTGAATGTTGCAGGGTGTCAGAAGTATAGGCTTTAGCACAGAAAGGAAATTGGGTCTGAAATCCCAAGGAGCACGGGGCTAGCAGGTGGCCCTGGAAACATCTGATGGGAAGAGAATGTTTCTCACTTCCCTCGAGTCTCACCAAGAGCTTATTATTTCAGACTGGGAAAGCTTGAGCAATAGGGCTTTGGGGTTTCATCTCAAAATCCTCTAGGGAGCAGATTGCTCACGTTGGGGTGCTGCTGTGCGTTAACAAGGGGTGGGTTAAAGCGTAAGCAGCTGACTCATGAGGCAGAGTGGGAGTTGGGTGGGTCCCAGCATCCTTAGAGGTAAGCTGAGAGCGCCAGAGCAAAGCTGGAGTTAGCAAACACTTTCTGGGAAGGACCAGCTAGTAGGTAAGAGGAACTGTAGACCACATATGGTCCCTAGCATACTCTTCTTTCTTTTCATTTTTTAAACAGCTTTATTGAGATATAATTTGCATATCATACAACTCATTCACTAAAAGTATATCATTTCGTGGTTTTTCTGTGCAATGTTGTACAACCATCACTA